ACCTCTAGTAATATATTTATTGAGAAAAATGGTGATGTGTTCAATACTTATTTTACCCGCTGTACATTTCTTCCAAATTTCATGTTGATCAGTGCATGTTATGGCTGACCAATAATCATTGAAAAAGATTTAAAAAACAGTACGAAGACAATAGCTTTGTGTAGCGGGGGTCATAATAACTTTTCTTGACAGAAGTTGGCTCTTGGCTTGGACCGTTTTGAATTTAGTCCCCTTTGTGTAACTGTGTTTATCCTCCCTGTGTTAGGATATAAGTTTTTGACCATGACAGTCAGTTCCAGTTTGGTGAGTGTTAAAGTTGTAATTCTTTGCACTGACTCTCGTCAGAAGTTTTACACAAATAAATATCATATTTCATATTGTTGGTCTTTAACAGCAGAGAAACATCTCTATTCTGTCCTGCAGGAGGACACCTGTGAGCATGGAAGATGAGGGACATAAATCATTAGAAAATATGAGAGTCAGACAGATTAAGCTGAAATGTCAGAAAAGAAGCAGAAACAGAGCTCTCTGGAGAGATGGAAAAATGATCCTTAGAGCAAGGAAGTCACAAGCAATTTAGTGTTAAAAAATGTTAGTTGCTTTATTGACACCAAAGTGTGCACAAATTGTCATTACTAGTCTTTGTTCTATTGTTGCCAATTTGACTGTAACAGAAATCAATGTACAAAGTGTTCAATATAAAACATCTCCATCAGACAGAACATGGCTGCTGATCTGAATAGATAAATATGCATGACGTACCAGTTGTGCTTGTTATAAGTCTGCTTCTGTTACTGAGACAGCTGCTGGTGATTTTGTGTGCCGCACAAGGTGCCATTTTTTTCACTTGAGCCCCTCCCCCACACCCACACACACACATACACCACACCCCCACACCACCCAAAAAAGTGCCTGTGCACGCAACAGTGTGGGAAAAGCTTAATTCACTTTAAGCTCACCTCCTACATATTGGTCAGTTCTGATATTAACAACCAAATAATTTTACTGGCACTTTTAGCTTAAGTTTTGGCAAATTAAGAACAAGGAAAGGAGGAAAGTAAG